AGCATGGGATAAAACCGGACTCTCTGATCATGGCGAACAATGAGGACTGATAAGAAGCCAAGGTCAATGGCAAGGGGTTTTGATCCTACTTCATGTTCTGGCTTGGTGGGAGCCTAGCCAGTTTGGATGTTCACCTTCCTAGACATGGACGGAGGGGGGAGGACCTTGGACTTTCCACAGGGCAGGGAACCCTGACTGCTCTTTGGATTGGAGAGGGAGGGGGAGAGGAGTGGGGGCAAGGGGAGAAGAGTGGAGGGAGGGAGAGAAGGGTGGGAGGAGGGGGAGGGAAATGGGAGGCTGGGAGGAGGCGGAAACTTTTTTTTTCCTTTTCTCAATAAAAAAAAAAAAAGAGATCCTATCATTCCAGTGAATGAGGAGTCAGAGCAGTAGCAGGGTTTTTCAAATTTAAACGGGAAAAAAGCTGATGTCTGAGGAATCAGGAGGGAGCAGTTTCTTCAAGTATCTACCTTCATGGTCTTCATAGTATTGTTTTCAGAATATTTTCTGAAAGTACCTTGAAAATTAGTAAAGGCAGGTAGTGTCTGTTCCAATAAAAAAAAAATGGAGTACAGACCTAAACAGAGAACTCTGCACAGAGGAATCTAAAATGGCTGAAAGACACTTAAGGAAATGTTCAACATCCTTAGTCATCAGAGAAATGCAAATCAAAACGACTCTGAGCTTCCTTCTTACACTTGTAAAAATGGCCAAGATCAAAAACACTGATGACAACTTATTCTGGAGAGGTTGTGGAGAAAAGGGAACACTTCTGCATTGCTGGTGGGAATGCAAGCTGACACTACAGCCCCTATTGAGGTCAGTGTTGCGACTTCTCAGAAAATTAGGAAACAACCTCCCTCAAGACCCACTGACCTCCAGAGAAAAATGTCGAGCTCAATAAATATCAATAAAAAAGACTGAAGAAAAAAAGATAGTTGTTTTAAGAGTAGCTGAGGGGATTAGTGATGACGACCTCAATGGGGGCGTCTAATGGTATTTCTGCAGACCATCGCATTATAAAGCCTCTGATCCAATCTAGGGATGGATTCAAACCTGATGGCCTTATTAGTATGTGGGGAAAGATAGGAGGTGGGGTCAGGCTGAAATGTGTCATTAGGGGGTGTGCCCTTAGAATAGATCTTACCCTGGCTATTCCTGTACTTTCCCTTTATGCTTCCTGTCCACACAGAGGTGAACAGATTTTATCTGCCACTTGTTCGCACCACCAACTTTGGAATTTTAATTGAGTCTGTCCTAAAATAACTTTGCCATTTTAAAGAAATTTAAAATTCATTTATTAAAATGTTGTATATTTATTTATGAAATACAAAAGTAAAAATTTGCTTGGTATATTGATACAATTAGCAAAATACAAAAAGATAATCCTGAAATCACAAATGAAACTATTTCATATGAACTGAATCAGTATGTGTCAAACACCCATTCTATACTAGGAAATCCCTAGTTTCCTACACTTCTAGTAAACACTTGAATTAGTTCTATAAAAACAACCCAGCCAAGTCGTGGTGGCACATGCCTTAACCTCAGGAGGCAAAGGCAGGTGGATCTCTATGAGTTTGAAGCTTGCCTGGTTTAGAGATTGAATTTCAGGATAGCTAGAGTAACACAGAAAAACACTGCCTGGTAAAAAAAGCAAAACAAACAAACGAACAAAAAACCTAACAAACAACAATAACCTACCACAGGTGTCATTCATATTTTCAGAAGAAACAAACTACATTAAGTGAAAACGATTAAAAGCAGACAGAGTCTTACTGAATACTTTCCAAGCATACCTATCAGTAAGGCTAAAGATTACATAAAATAAACATATAACTTTGAGATCCCATTTTATGAGAAAAAGCCTATTCTAAAAAACAAAGAAATCAGGTATTTCTTGTATAGCAAATATAATCACATATAAGTATGTCATAGATTAATATAAAACTGTCATAATTCTTAACCTTACAATGCATTCTGTCTTGATGACCTTCCCACTTACTTTCTTATGGCTCCTGAGCACTGACGGCGTAACGAAGGCCTTATTGCAGAGCTCACATCGGTACTTCTTGTGTCTTTCATGGACCACTTGGACATGAACATTTAACGTGTCCTTCCTTTTAAATGTGGCATCACAGTGATGGCACTTGAAAGTCCTTTCACCTCAGAAGACAAGTCAACAGTCACTCCACAAACATATGATTTCAGATTTTTTTGTGTTAAAATAACAGAATTCCCTAATTCTGACGTGCTACTTCTATCAGATTCTGTGTCTTAATGCTATCAGAACTTTCCCCTAAGCTTAACACCTACAAGCTAGCCAGGGACCTGCCTTTTGGTTTTTAGTGTACAGGGGAAGAGCAATAACTTCCAAAGTAAGTAGAAATTGTTTATATTTTAGTCTATAGTAAAGACATGTGTGTGTAATAACAGCCTTCACATCTCTGAAGTGCAACTAGCTGTACTGTTAACACTGTGTGAAACAAGACCTAGGACTTTGTTCTCTCTGCATCTTGTTTCCCTGCTGTTTTAACTTCATTGTTGCGTGTCTGGAGGTTGACTTTTCTAGCCCGACACCACAGTGCAGCTTCTGAAAGCCTCTTCTAGTGCTGCCCTTTATCATTCCCACTACAGAGCACACAGCACAGTCTCACAGCCACTTCAGTCCTTCCTCTAAAGCTGCTGAGAACCAAGAGGGTGACATCAAAAGTATCAGAATTCTGATGTTACAAATTCATTGCTGTTATGTGAAATAAAATTTAATTTTTCCCATGAAAAATTTCCCTAGCATCAAGTCAAATTCAGCCACATGTCTTCAATGAAGTTCACTTGTCTAAATGCTTATTCCAAAATCCATCCAGCTCTTAAACCCTCTAACATAATAATTCCTTCTGTTGTGCAACAAATTTCATTCTTTAATGACAAAGTTGTTCTGTATGAGGAAATCAAAAGTTAGGGTAAGCACTCCCCAGAGCTGTATGGTGACTAACCTGGACTGGAATTGTAGTCTGCCCTTTTCCTACAGGAAGTAGCTTTCTTCCTCAAGCCCATCACCAACATGTATAAAACCTTAAGACCTTTATTATTTTTCATATTAGACCCTAACTTGAGCTGAGAAACTTTCTTCTGTCACCATTCTGTATACTAATTGTCACAATGCCTTATATTTGGAATTTAATATTAAAGCAGCAGTAGAACTTTACATGTACATTTTTTAAAAAAAGATGTATGTCTACATAGAACATAATAAAAATTTACCCCCCCAAAAGTAGAGAAATCAGAAATTTTACATGAAGTAGGAAAGGTCCCTGCCTATCGGATAGCTGGATGCAATGTCTACAATCCCCTACTTGAATGATTGTGCTCTTGTCAGACTCAATCGAGAATATTCTCAATTTCTCCTTAAAAAAGGTGCTGGATTAGATGTGCACTCTGATTCATTTCAACTTTAAGCCTGCGAGCTAATAAAACCCTGACCTGCAACATAATTTCCTGTTACATAGGCAGCCAAGTTACCTTAATCATCAAAGTTAAAAGGGAATGAAAGTCTGTGTTTCAAAACAATGTTCACAGCGTACTGAGTGTGGGGGTATCTTTTTCCATACAAACCATAAATACTGGGAAGAGACGATGTAAAGTAAAGTATCTCATAAAATGATTAATGGAACTGTAGGAACACAAGGCAATCTGTCTTCTGTATGCTTTAAACAGATTATCTAACAATTCACAGTGCACTTCTGTGATGTCTACATTCTGAAAGGGTCTAAGAACACAGTAGGAAGTAACTCCATCTGTCCTCAGCTGCCCGAACTGGGACTTACTGTTGTGGATCAACAGGTGTCTTTGCAGAGAAAATGGGGTCCGGAACAAAGCTTTGCATTCGTCACATTGAAATGGTCGCTCCTCAGAGTGAGTCTGCAGAAGGAAGACGGAGTCAGCAGAAGAATGAGCTCATCATTACAGAATGCAGACGGCATCTTGCTTCTTCTTTATAGCTTTACTACGGAGGAGGGAAAGCACACCCATATGCACTCACAGGAAGAACACCGGTTCTGTCAAATTCTCAAATTCCTTAGAATTTCGATAAAGTGCAAAGGAAATTGTTACTCCTATCTCAAATTGCTAATGTAAACACTAATATATTTTGTAAGATCTGCTTTGTAGACCAACATGCTGTACAGTTTGCCTAGTGTATAGTTAGCCCTATACAGTGTTTGCCAGGCTTGCTCATTTTCCATATAGGCAAGAGGAAGGGTTCGCAGGCACATGGTCTCTACTCTTTCCCTAAAATCTCACTGAGGTATTTAAAGATATTTAATCCTCAGGTCTGTTTGGTGTTTAAATTACAAGAGCATGGGCTCATATGGTTAACCTGAGGTAGTATTCATTAAATACTTAATTTGTATCTAATGTCATGCTAAGTACTACACAGGGATTAATGAATTCCAAGAGCCATGTTCTTGATTAAAGATGAAAAAAATAAATGAAGATTTGCAAAAGATGCACATGTTATAAAAGTCTATGGAACACAACAAACCAACAGGCATTGAAATGATCACACAGAAGTTTAAACCAATTTGGCACAAACCATGAATAAAATCTTACTCTAAACTGTGGATAACAAAGTTTATTTATTTACAAATATTTTCAAAGTTTATTTTGTGTATATGAACATTTTGCCTGTATGTGTACCACCTGTACACCTCGTGTGTGCAGAGGCCACAGCAGGATATTGAATCTCCTGGAAGTGGAGTTACAGATGTTCATGTGGGTACTGAAAACTGAATCCAAGTCTTCTCTGCAGGAACAGCAAGTCATCTCTAACTGCAGAGTCATCATCTCTCCAGACACACATGGCAAAATTGAATAAGGTTCACAAATACATTTTTAAAGTTCTCAAAAGTCCAACGATATCCTTTCATTACAATAAAATAAATTATAAATCTGATAGGCTCTATGGTATTGGTACACAAAGCACGGGACAACTGAAGGAAGCCACTTTATTCACATCTCATTAACAGAGACGTTCACAATTTGATAGGCATGTCAGTATTCAAGTCTGAGAAGTATCTGAGAAGTATCATAGAGAATAACACTGCAACATATATCAAGATTGTTTTCACTGTCAGGAACATAAAGGGTGGAAGAAAAAGTCAGGATAAATTTAAGATATTTAAATGTGTTACTTGGACACAGAAATTCTAGATGAAAAAAAAATAGAACAGAGGAGAACATTTCTTCCATTATATAATATAAATGGCACTATGAACACGACATTCCAAACTGGCAAGAGAAGCGTAGAATATTTACTAAAGGGTTCTGATGCAACTAAAGGTGGGCTTTTCACTTCCTACGGGAGGAGAGAAGCTATATGGATTTAGTATTTTTATTCGCATTACTTTTCTGAGACACTCTTGCTATGCAGCTCATGCTGGCTATGAGCTTGTGTCAATCCTCTTGCCTAATAAATGCTGATATTACAGATACATGCCACCACATCTGGCTTCACCTATCTTTTAAAGTGAATAATAAAGCCTCAAATCTCATAGAAGAAAATGTTCCAAATTTTAAATAACAATTGAGTGGGAAAAGATTTTCTAAGTATGATGGAAAACTAGATATTTAGATTAAAATACAAATTCAATATTGTAAAGTAAAAGTGTTTTCCAATTACCAAAGACAGTAGTTGTAACACCAAATAACATTACTAATTTAAGGTTTGATGGCACAGTAATAAGAAAATGGAAAACTCCAAAAGAAAACCGGTAGATGATACCCGCACTTCCATTTGGAGGGTGATGTGGGAGTGTCATATATCAATCTGTTGATTTCATTGGTTAAGTTATAATAAACCAACTGCTTGGCCTCAGCTTAGAACATAGATGGGAGGAGTAAACAGAATAGAATTCTGGGCGGAAGAGGAAGTGAGGTCAGACTCTGCTCTGCTCCCGGAGAGACTCGACAGCTCTGCTGGAGCAGAGACGCCATGCTCAGCTCTCCCAGGCAGCTGCAACCCACGATGGACTTAGGCTAGAATCTTCCCGGTAAGCGCACCTTGGGGTGCTTACACACATCATTAGAAATGGGCTAGTCCAGATGCGAGAATTGGCCTGTAAGGGCTAGAGTTCATGGGCCAAGCAGTTCTTAAATGAATACAGTTTGTGTGTTGTTATTTCGGGCATGAGCTAGCCAAGCGGCCGGGGTGTTGGGGATGCAGCGCCGCCGCTCATATTTCAACAGGAGGGTGTCTTGTATCAGGTCTATAGTATGCACTTTGCTTTTAGGGGTTCATCCTTTTTCAAACTGAGGATACAGTGAGAACAAAATCCACAAAATTTGCTGCATCGCAAGGCTTTTGTCCTCTATGTGTGATAAATACACAACCTACGTCAGGAAGAGAGCGACACGTGCTATAGAGGAAAATAAAGAGGAGCAGAGATAGTGTTTCAGAGAACAGATTTCAAATAGGTGGCCAATAGAATTCTAGCTGAGGTGATGTCGGAGAAAAGTCTGTTCTGAGAGAACAAAGCACAGGTACCTGAGTGACAATAACAGGGACAGGGGGAAGAGGCCAGATTGCTTTTCTATTCCTAAGGATATATAAAAAAATGTCTATATTCTCATATGGAGGGTAATCACAGAACACAGAAAGGTTTTGGTAACTCAGTGTGATTTTTGGGGTTGCCTACAAAAAGAAGCACAGGCAACTCAGACATACACTATCCAGAGCCCTCTGGATGGCTTTAGGAGGCTACAGACCAACTGCAGGTCCTACCTAGTAAGCTACCTCTTACTCAGCAGTGACTGGAGTTTCACTGAGGGCCATGCTCACTGAACCCACTGAAGGCCTCTACTGAGAGAAAGTGGATAGACACGTCTCATCAGGATCATGTACTGGTGAACACAGCTTTCTGCTTCAGGTTGGCAACAATCACAACTACCCAGGACAAACGTCTATGTTTCTGCCCATGTGGCTGGAGTGATATGAATGAGGAAGAGAAGTGGGAAGATGCAGAAACAGGCAAGGGTGAAGAAAAAAAGAAGAGACCAATCATGAAGGCTAGGTCACCCTAAAGTGTTGTCAATTATTCTCAGAGACGGGAGGTCTCTAAAGGTTTTGGGCAGGTGTAGTAATAAATCAGACGAGTTGATAAGTCTGCAGAAGTAGCCTTGGATAAGAGAAGTAAGACAGCTGGTGTCTTACAAGAAGAAACAGGCCACAGGCATGAACTTGGATATGAGAGGGGAAGGAAGCAAGTATAGCCTGCAGACCCGTAAAATAAGAAGCGAAGAGAGGACAACTGTTTAGATGGCACTCATCTAAAGGGTTTAAGTGACTTTTAAAGAAAGTCATTGGCAGCAAAATATTTCAAACCTGGATTAAACTGTATAGAATTAACATAGAAGGTATCCTGCTACATATGGCATTAATATATAATTAATGATAAATTCAAAGAATGACAAATTAAAAACAGTATCTGTTGTTCATGACAGTGTCACACATGAAAAATAAAATAGATACTACTTAGTGTTTGCCAGAGAATGAACAGTAAGGCAAGCTCACAAACTGTGACCCGGAAGGTAAACTCTCTGGATTGCATTGTGGCTTACTGTTCTCAGTCGGCAAACGTACATCCCTGCGACTGACCAACTGCCTTTACAAAATACATCTGAAAGTTAGTTTACTTTATTTAATAAGGAAAATCACACATAACTTTTAGAGTGTCGCATCATTATAAAATACCATTTGGCTATACACATTCACTCACACACAATGTAGTCTGGAAAGATGCTCTAAAGTATCTGCTGAGGAGAGTTTTCCCAGGAAAGTAGGAGAATTTGATGGCATGCTTGCATTCTTGTTTCTTTCTTTACTATTTAAACTGTACATAAGTAGATACTGCTCTTTACTACACTGCAAAAGCTACTTTGTTTTAGAGCTTTCAAATTTGAGCGGATAATTTCTCTAGCCCTCCAAAAGTACTATATTCTACCATCAAACATTTTTTCTACATCTGGGACAATAACAATAATAGATATTTGTGGTAATCACAGATTAGCATATTTTAAATAATAAGCTGGTACAACATAACCAGATAGATATATTCTTTTATGGAAAAAGATCCCAACATGACCTCTGTGTTGGAATGTTATAAATTATAAATATTAGCAGTAAATTAATATGTTTAATTGACCGGAAGACCCCAAGTCATGTAAGAACTAAGAGTGTCCAGTGCTCACATGTAGATACAGAATTTGTGTTCATGAGGTGTTTTACAAGTATCAGAGGAATTTCAACTTCTTGAAAGGTATTTTATCATTAGATTTTTCACTAATTTAATAATTGATCCTTGAGCTCATAATATTTCTTCCAACTGCCAAGGCAATGATGTCATCAACATCTGCTAATGTAATAGATAAAGTTGCCATGAATTATCTTTTTAGATACTTAAATTTTTATGGAACAAATCCAACTCTGATAAAAGATATAGAGAAGACATAAGAAAAGTGTTGCACTGTACGTAACATCGATTAAAATTCTCAAAAATACCTCAGAAAGGTAGCATAGCATACAGTAAGATACCAAATAATTCTAGCCACATAGATCAAATGTTAATTTCACAGTACCAGAATAAAATTTTCCTCAGGGCCATTCATAGCTAAAATTTACTCTCAATAGGTCTATACTGTTCTATAATAAGAGTATGTATTGCTGACGGTATTTTACCTCTGGAACACACACCATACAATAAAACCAATGAAATCTTCATCATGCCCTTTTTTCCCAAGTCTCTGGGACCATTGTGGAGGTGGCAGAAAGACTCTAAGAGCAGAAGCAGTGTGACTACAAGGAAACTGTTTTCCAGGCACAGCAGGGCACATGTGAACTCACAGCAATTATGACAGCTTGAACA